GGAAAGGAAACTTGCTGGCACATATATTTACAAGTGGACCTTATCATGCTATATTTGAAAAATATATTTGTAGCCATTACCATACAAAAACATTGTCTGTGAAGTTTTTTTTTCAAAATCCCAAACAGATCACCCATTTAGCCATGCCTCATATCTCATACCCTCTTTTTGCAGCCTGTTAGAGAAATTGCAGACGATTTTTGGGGTCTTTAGCTTGAAAAAAATGAATAAAGGAGGAGGCGGAGCTATGCCTGATCAGAATTCACCGGAGATTAAAGTAAAATATTTCTGCGCTGTGATAAAACGCCATCCTGTTCTAAAAACCACATCAAAGGATATTTGCTGAAACAGTATTGATCTCAAATGCTTTTTCTCTTTGCGGGTTTAATCAAAAGGTGAGGTCCTTTTTTATTTCCTGCTTTTTAAACGAGCATTTTGCTCTTCAGTACAGGTTAGCTCTGAGTGTTTAGCGAGGCTTGTAATGTAAACAAAGGACGAGATTACGTCCAAAACACGTCAGGCATTGATTTGATAGCAACTTTCTGTAGGTCCGCCGCCGATTTGACATCACATTCGGATGGAATTCTGTATCTGCCCTGCTTTTAAAAGATTTGGGTATGGAGGAAAAGAGAGGAGGGTTTTATTTTTCTGACTCTGCGTGAGTTCCGTCCGACACACCGGGGGAACATATTTATGTATAAAAGACATCACGAAAGTGCTCATTTTGGCATGATAGGTCCCTTTAACTTGAATAAGCTGTAAAAGTTTAGAAGGAATTGTTTGGGTTTCCCAAACTTTTCAGCATGAGACCCAAAACAGGAAACGTTGTGGTCCTAATGGAACCCAAGCTCAAAAGATTTTCGATGATTTTCCCATAAATTATCTACAGTTATAAACAAAAGAATGCAACACACCATGATGTAAATGAAAATATTTATTTTAATTATAAAAGTGCGTCGCAGCAATTAGGTTTCTCACCATAACAACCTTCCTTTGAGCTTGCCCAGAAAAAATAAGGATCAAAGCAGAAAGGACGAAACAGTGGGACGTGCAGTCAAGTAGTATACAGTACAAATCAAAATTTAAAATGGTTATACAATTATTCCAAAAGCTGCAATATTAGTTTTATCGCTAGCTTAAAAACTATGTCCACACCATTTTAAACTATTTTAAATGAACAAAGAACAAACATGTTGTAAACAGGAAAGGGACAAAACACTAACTATAGGGAAGTGCAGTCAAGTGTATACAGTACATTCACAGGTGAAACCAAATCTTAAAGTTATTCAGAAGTTGCAAGCAGTTAAGTTTGTCACTAGATCAAAAACTATTTACACCACATTTTTTAAAACACTTAAATGAACAGAGCTGTTTTAAAACACTCTGAGAGAGCAAGATAAACTCAAAACTTGGCAACTGATTAACTTGTTTTTGTTGTGGAGGCTGACTTTGTAGGATGCCCCTCGTGGCCCCTCTGTTCCCTGCTTTGAATGCCTGAAAATAACAGAGAAGATTATCATATTATCATTAACATTGCTGGGTTATTGGTGATTGTTTAATACCAGCCGGGTACGCTTGTATACCCAATGTGGACCTGGCAAACGCATTATAGCGCATTTACATTGCCATGTTTGCTTGTTAGAAGCGTTATCCAAAGCGACTTACTTACTTCCAATACTGTGGGGAATCCCCACAGAGGGATTTTGACAGGGTTGTTGCACAAAAGACCCAAGCGCGCACAGAAGAAATCTGAGAGCAGACATTTCAAGGCCTGAGTGCAAGGAGAAGGTTTTAAACTGGAACACAGGAAACCTGTAAGCGCAGCAATATATCTGAGTGCAAGCGTACAGTTTGAGCAGAAGCAGAGCAAATCTAAGCGCAAGCAGGCACTATTTGAGTGTGAGGACAGGGTTTGAGGGAAAGAAATACATATTCTGAATGTGAAATCAATAAAGTATGCTCTCAAATTTAAAGACCACGCTCTTGAATAAAGATAGGGAATAACCCCCATATGTATTCCTATGTGCATCACACAGCAGCAGTCACGTCCGTGCGGCTGATACTTTCTCTCGCTTTCCTTCTCATACTACCTGTCACTTTCCCTCTAATCTTCCTGTGGTTATTGTTTTTGAAACACCGCTCTGTGCCGCTGCAGAATGTAGTGGACTCGCGGGAGCGAGTAGAGGACGCGTGAGAGCGCGCAGCTGGCGGTCCGCTCTGGGGCTCAGTCTGCATTTCATCCAACTTTGCATTAACGAAACAATTTCACAACAGACCCTGACAAACTCACAAAAACACAAAACAAATTATTCAAATGAGTGACTTACTTTTCCGCCGTCAAAACACTGCTTCTTGAAAGACTCTTCTTTGCAGATGAAAAAATCCTTCGATTTGTCCCGATGCAGAGGATGTTTTGTTTGGAGATGCCGGTCCAATTTATTCATTTTCAAGCTTTCGTTACTGAGCACCTCTCCACATAAAACACACTGAGGCTTTTGTGAAGCCAACGTTTAAAAACTCCTCTTTGTATCGTCTTTTTGCCATCATGTACGATCGGGATTAATCAACAGACAATAAACAGACAGCGCGAAAACTTTCGCGGGGGACGCGTCAGAGCTGATACAAATACAATCTTTTATTTTTAGTTTATTTGTATTTAGAAAATTAAATCATTCAATATACAATGCTATATTGCATAATTTCATTTTCAAAATAAAAAATAAAATACAAAAATTATTTAAATTTTTTTATTTGCAACGCAGCCATCAGCTCTGACGCTGTGTGTGTGTAGCAATGCATTTAACTGGCGACCCAATCAAAACGGGTCCGCGACCCATTTTGGGTCGCGACCCTGAGTTTGGGAAAGGCTGGTTTGGGTGAACATTGTAAATGTTGCTTGATGCATCATAATAACTGAGTGTGTTGGGCTGGGTGAGATTCCCATGCTGTGAATAATTCTCACAGCATGCACCAGGCTCCAACATGTGAGTCCCCACACACTCCTCACCTCCGAGGTCTTCTGCAGCTCCTCCTCCAGAGTCTTCTTGCTGTGCTCCATGTCCTTCAGCATCAGCTGCACAGAGAGGAGGAGAGCTGAGATCACTGAGCATCAGCTCAGAGGAAATTGCAAAAAATGAGTACATTACAATAGTTTACCTTGAGCTGCTTCATCTGGGTGTGGAGCTGCTTCACCTCCGTCTGAAACTGCTCCATCTCCTCACTGCTGTAACTGCATTCTGATTCATACGTCTGCACACACAGAAGAACAAGTTATGTGTTTATGTTAGGTGAGGATCTTTTCAGTTTTGCTCTTGATCTGATCTGTGTGAGAGCTTACGGGGGAGTGGAAGGCAGACGTGTCCATCAAACTCGCTGCTTCATGATAGGAAAACATGAAGGGATCCGCCCCTAAACCCAGCTCATCCAGGTTCTCCTGGAAGATGTTCCGGGTGGCCTCCACGAAGTCTGGGAGAGGACAGACAAGCACAGATACATTGTAAATAAGTACAAATGTTCCTTATGCTATTTATAATGTATGTCAATACTTTTTTGTTTTTTTGCAAAGGTTTTTAGTTTTCACATGCATTAAGCATTTTAGGTTTTATAGCTTGGAATCCCCTGAAAAACCCTTTCCATTCAAATGTTATTAATCACTACCATCTTAACGCTTCAGACCTATGTGAAAGGTGGCAGTTTTATAACATAGTAAATGTTTTGAATTGGAACAAACCTACTTGGTGAGGTTTAGAAAAAGATCATGGTTGAAAAAAATAAATAATAATTGTACCATAAAAAACGTAAAAAACACAAGTTAACTTTTGCTTTTATACAGGACAGGAAACACCAGTCTCTTACGGTGATGTTCATGTGTTTGGTCACTAGAGGTCGCTGCACAACAGTTTTTAAACTAGCAACCCTCTCTCTCTATCACAGACAGTGAAATGAATCGGTTCAAACACAGTTCATCGGTCTGAGACTACCACCTTCTAACCTAATTTATGTTGCCATAGAAACCTACACAACATCCCTTCGTAGTTCCCATTTTATTCACATCTATAACTGAAACACCCACATGTTTAAAGGTTGTCCCTGAATCGTACCTTTAATATGTGTTGATGTTGTAAATGGAGCTGCTGTGATCAATATGTGCTCTTTTCAGATTGTATCCTACTATCCTGGAACAGTATCTGGACTTAAGGCCGTGACCAAAGTCAGAAGAAACTCTAGTAAATCTTAGCTGTTATTATATGTTTTGCTTCACTTCCAATACTTTACACAGTACATGTTTACATACAAACACAATAGGTATGAACTGATAAACCTGATATTCCTACTCTTAGTATCTACAGAGCTTTCCAATTTTCACAACAATACTGCACATCTTTTCTTTTCTTTTACTATTCGGAGTACTTTGTCATAGTCAGAATCAGAAACAGAATCAGGTTTATTGCCAAGTAGTTTCACATATACGAGGAATTTGCCTTGGTGTACATGGTGTAAACATAAACACAGTTAAAGAAGATACAAAGTAAGAAAAACAAGCACAAATAAAAGAAAAATTATACTATATACAGTATATATATTATAAGATTATATATATATCTTAATGTATAACATTTTAAACGTTTTTTTATTATTGTCTACGGAGCCCCAAAAGGGACATGAAAAAAAAAAAAAAAGAGAGAGAAAAAGAATAAAGTCAGGAAAAAGAGTTTGTTTCTCGTGCGCACGAGAAACGAATCCGTTATCCTGACTTTATTTTTTTTGAGAAATTTACCGATGTACGAGGAAGTGGAACACACAGGAGACAACCATTTCATTGCAGACTGGAAAATGACAGTGCATACATTATTTGAGATATATTTTGAACTCAGACTTAATTTTATGGACATTTCGGCCAGGGGTGTAGAGCTATTGGTTTAAGCACCGGATTCGCAAAACAGGAGAGTCTGTAAACCAGTCTGCTTTGATCTATGAATTAATGTCTGTGACTCTCATACCTCATTCACACCAACGGTGTTTCAGGGCCGGTTTGGAGCTGGAGCTTAAAAAGCACCGGTTTTCCTGTTCACACCGCAGCGGAGCAGCTTCTTAGCTCGGGAATCTGGTTCGTTTCAAGCACCAAAAAATTGTCCGGCTAGAGCAAAAGCACCGCATACGTCACGCTTACGTCGAGGCGGGCGCAGGGGCATGGGCGGGATCAACTCCTGAACAACAACAAAAAGCCGGCGTTTTATCCAGTTTATACACAACGATGGAGAAACTTAACAAGCAGCAGTGGTCCACTGAAGAGACCAGCTACCTACTGGGAATCTGGTCTTCCGAAGAGGTACAGTAGAGGAAGCTGGAGCACAATCGGCCATTGTTGTTGTTGTCGGTGTCAGCTGTGAGGGGTTTCCGCGAGGTTTGGCTTTATGAAGCAGGCACGCAAACGGTTACGTCATGACGCAAACGATGACGCAATGACGCAGCACCAGTCGGACTCTGGGCAGTGTGAAAACAGCCGGAGCTAAACCGAAGAACCGGTTCTGAACCTGAAAAGCTCTAACACGGAGATTGAACCGGAGTTGCGTTGGTGTGAATGAGGTATGATGAGGTACCTGCTGTTTTATAGGGAAACACACACACACACACACACACACACACACACACACACACACACACACACACACACACACACACACACACACACACACACACACACACACACACACACACACACAC